GATCAACTTCCTGCAAAGAAAAAATTGGTAGTCAGTAGTTAGAGTCAGTGGTGTTTTGAAGCTCAAACTTGGACTGGCTCTAGGTCCCTGTAACACCCACAGGCCCCAACCCAATGTTCCTCGTCCGGTTCATTGAACTTTTGATCGCAACCTCCACACTCACCTTCCACGAAGTCAATCTCGAGGTCATCTTCGCTTTCATGGTCTGATTCCTGTTTGGTGTGCTCTTCAGAAGCCATGGCTAAACTGACCCACACAGTGTGTGCTCACGCTGGAAGGTCCTGGCCACTCCCAACGCTCAACACGCTCACCACAGAAAGCCAAGACTTGCGCAAAACAAGCCTCCAAATGCATACCAGCTCACAGTGCACAAACTAGAGTGCTCAGAACTCACAATCATGATTCATCATGATCGTGCGACATGTTGCAAACTGATCGCTCTGAAAAGAATGCTTTGGCCTGCATGCTGCATGCTGCATGACTCACTGCACTATCATGAATGTCACATCTCAATGAAACAAGCTAGCTGATCCAAGTGCAAGCTGCAACCAAACTTGTTAGCACACAAGATGCGGTGCACAGGTTGGCATGTCGTATGACAAAGGAAGAGCAAGGGAGGACATCTCCCAGCAAACAAACTGGACCGAGTGAGATGAGGCAACTGTCAATGTCAGCTCAAATCACAACTCGTCACACGCTGATTCACCTAGACAGTCGGTCAAGGCTAGCAGGCAGGACTCAAGGATTCCCTTCACCTTGGTGTCAGTAATGAGGTCAATGGTGTCACACAGGAGGGAAACCGCTGTCATTGGTACACCTTCTTGAAAAGCCAGAGTCGGAAAACAATCTGCATGGACCCAGAACTTCACTTTGCCGTGCCGGTTTTTCCGGATCCAGTGTATCTGACAATGCCCTGGCAGAAGGCCCTTGCCACAAACATCGCACAAGATCTCATGGTCAGAGTCTTGGACAAAGCTGCTCTGGAAACATGGGGAGGAGGAATCTTCTTCATTTGGTTCTAGCTCTGTTTCTGTAGCAGAGTCCAGGGTGACTGTTTGGCACGGCTCTTCACACAAGGAAAGCAATGGTCTTCCAAGCTTTCCAGGCAGAACCCCAGTGATCACTGCGAGCATGATTGCACCTGACACAGGCAATGTCCAGGCATCACCTTAACTGACACCAAGCAACGAAGCAACCGCTCTGCAAAAAGTATCTGGCCTGCCTGATGTCAAATGAAAAGCCTTTGGTTCACCCTTCTGAACATTTATATAATTGAAAATATATGTTATTTATATATGACATAATATCAATCATATATCATATATCATATAATATATATCATTCATGGTGCAGTCATGTCACCTGCCAATTTGTTCACCTGTGCGTAGTTCATAGTGGACAGATCCAGAAAGGCGGTGTCGATACCCTGGAGACACAGAAGATCCTGCAGTGCACACTGATCGCAAATTTCATGAAAGCTGTCACAAGCCCAAAAAACCTTTTTGTCACAGTGAGGTCTTGAATTCAATTTGATGTCTGAGTCAGAATTCAAACAGTTAGCAAGGAATTGTTAGCAGTAAAGTAATGCCATGTCAAATGTTACATGTTTCTGACTTCAATGTGAAACTGAATTTGGAAATGTCCTGCCCACATAGAAAATCTGCATTTGCCCAATCCCATAGTTTGACACCAGTTGTTATAGCCGATACTTTGGATCCGTAGGTGAAGTGTTCCCGATTGACACTTCCTCAAATTTCACTTTGCAAAGAAAAGTACGTGATCTGCTGGGTCAACTTCACGACATCTCAAGAATGACCTAACTGACTTCTGAACTTGAGGTGACCACTGGTTGGGTGAAAAAAAGAGTGAGCAGGTCAACTGAGTTTGGTGCGGGCCAAATCACTGATGCATTTTGCGTGAACTGGATCCATACCACGAGCCTAGGCAGTGATGGGCTCAAAACAACAGTACAATAATATCATATGAATCATGACATTTGATGTATCGTCGTTGTACAGGTTGTCATGTAATTTGTAGTTGAAGTTGTGTGTACACATGGAGTTCTTACCCCTGTGCTGTTCTTTGTGTTGTTCAAAGTCAGGGTGAGTGATTGTCTCCAGGTTCGATTAGGTTGCAGGCTGAACACAGTTATGTTAAGCTATCTTGGTGGAATACCAAGCAAAACATGTAACATGTTGTTGACACAGTCGAAGCTTTGAGAGATGTGATGTGATGTGTCTCTCACATATCACACATCATATCAGAACCTTAATATTATGTGAACAGTGACCACAACCAACTTATAATAAATGTTATATGATAAGTAAGTTAAAGTTATGTTATATGTTTTATTTATTGATGTATGTTATATGTCAAACAATCTATCATGGGCGGGTTTTGGAAATGGTTCGGAACGGTTTGGAGCGGTTCAGAACTATTTATAAGTATGGGCTTACAAATAGCTCGGAACGGTTCCAAGCGGTTTAGAACTATTTGTACATCCCAATCTGGTCAGGACCAAATGGGACTAAATGGGACTAATTGGGGTTTGGGGTGTATAAATAGTTCGGAACGGCTCCAAGCGGTTTGGAACTATTTATAAGTCAAATTTACAAATAGCTCGGAACGGTTCCAAGCGGTTTAAAGCTATTTCTGGTACCCTGACATTCCTGAATGTCATAAGTAGTTCGGAACGGTTTGGAGCGGTTTCTAGGGACCTGAGATAACAGTGCTTGGAAAATTATGTTTTTCTTTAATATTCTGAAGAAGTAACATGTTACTTTTGGTTAAGATAAAAATAATAATCAGAATCTACTCAACTCAACAATTGACAACTTGTGTGAGATGGGCCATGGCCATGGCAGCTGAGGCCACAGACTTGACCTATCTGAAACCCTGAAACTGAAGCCTCAAATGTTAAGACACTGAGAGACACTAATTTATTTCATGATTCCTTTCATCCCAGGCACTTTGATCAGCTCGAAATGGATATCCAGGGTTGTTTGCTCCCGTGTGTTCAGCTGGCCGTCAGGAATATTGGCGGAGTAGCCACACCCTTTCTTGATTCCGAAACGCTGGAAATAGGCCTTGACCACCTCTTTGGTTTTCTGAGATGTCCGCTGCCCATCCTGTCACAGGGTGTTGTACACTGACACTCTGACCCCCAAATCAACAGCTGAGGAACAGGTGGGCCCTTGTGGCTGGGGGGTGAGCACCACTTGGTCATTTAAGGGGGGTCTGGGGCCAGGATCCCAAAATCCTCTGTCAATAAAGAGGGCGGGACTATTTATAAAAGTTGTGGCGCTATTTATAAACTCAGGGCCAACCCAAGTGAGGAAACAGAGCCAACCCCTAAACCTACCCCTGAGGCTGGGTGGTGCGTTTGCCCAACCTGCCCCTCCAGCCCGGGTCTGGAGCCCAACAACTTCATGGCTGGCTGGTCTCATACAACTTGGTTTTCAAATACTGCACAGCCAACCTGAGATCTGAATATGCAAACAGGGCTGGATGTCCCTCCCCCAAAAGGTTGTGCTCCGACTTGGCTGGGTGATTGCTGGACCCTGGCTTCAAGGTGCCTACAATGGCCTGTCTAGAGGGTATGGTATGTGGATCGGCAATCAATGTAATCACATAATGACTCATATAGACCGTGTCATACAAGAGCTGAGCCCAAATGAAGCACCTTGAGACCTTGAGTGTCACATTCGTGGTAGCATTCATTATGGTTTCCCATACATTGCATGTTTGTGCAGTTTGTGTTGTTCTTTGTCCGGTAAACCAACCTGTACTGCTTGTCCCCTTATATATGTGTGTGACTGTGATTCTACTTTGAAGCTTGCTGTGAAACAATGTTAAGTGTCAGGTACAGTAAGAGTATATATGCTGTGCTGATATGCTGCATGCTTGCACGTGACATGTGTTTGACACATCTTTCAGATTCATAGACTAATGAACTAACTAACTAACTAACTAACTAACTAACTAACAACAATAACAACAACAGCTCTTTGCTCTTTTCACAAACCCTGAGCCTTGGAAAATGGGCAATGCAGCAATTCATCTGTGCTGTGTATGGAGCGTACATATTCCCGAATTTCCTCTACAGTGCTCCCTTGAGGAATCTGGCTGGGAAACACTGTGTGGATGAGGTGCAGAACACCATGCATTTGCCCAGGTTCGACAAGGCCCTTCTTCACAACAAGCACATAGATCCTGCCCCTTGTCCGTGGGAGGTTGTACTTGCTGTTCCTTGGAATGCTGTGGTACAAAGGAAAAAACAGGAGAGAACAGGAGCAACAAGCAAAGAAGATTGGTTGCATGAAGGACATCAAATGAAAGTGAAACAATACCTGATCTCCAGAGGAATGAATTTGCATCACATCATATAGTATATAAAATCAAATGTAGATTTGAAGCTGGAGCTTGAAACTAATATAGCTTCTCTCTGATTATCACAGTGACTGTGCTGAACACGTGTACTGTACTTAGTACTCAGTCCAAACCTGCCATAACTGGACACCGGAAACAGAACACAGATGAAACGGTCTGACTGAAGGAGTGCTGAATCCAAGTGGCTCCATATCAAGAATGTGACAATCGTAGTCGTCCAACAATTGCAGACCCAGCTCCTCGCCCTCAAAGACTCCATGCATGATAAAGTCAATCGGCGCCTGGCAGAAGAAGTTTGCACAACCGTCTAATCTAACTCAATCATCAAATTTCTCCTGGCCTGGTGTCATACAATAAAACGTGACATTATCATATTATCATATCATCAGGTCTTGTCAATCTCAACCACTTGAAATGTAAAATATCCATCGAATCGTCATCATGTAATGTTGAATCATCATGTAACATGTACCCCAAACCACACCACACCACCACTGGACCAGCATGTGAGAAACCTGGGATTGATACAACATGATCCGACTCCCTCGATTCCCAATGCAAAAACTATAGTCTTTTTACCCTCTTCTGCAGCCTCTGCTTCGAGAGACGTGTCACTCTGAGCACAAGATTTTCAGAATCTCGGCTGCCTTCTGTTTGACGTCAGCAGCTACTGGCTCCGGAGCTGCACACGAACTTGAACTTGCACTGCCAGCATGAACAATATCAGAAAGTGTTCTGATGGTATCCTCCTTTAGCCCAGATGCCTCGGTCATGGGAATCACACAGTGTGCATGAAGCCATGACGATGGCCGTAGCCTGCTGTGAAACCAACTGAACCGGATTTCTGATTTGCCAATCTTGTTCTTGCAACACAGACAAATGCTCCTTGCAGAGGCAGCTTTTCCACCAGAGTCCAACCCCAAGGTTTTGGAGAAAAATGTCTTTTGAGCAACACCGCCACTCTGAGCTGCTGTGGTGTACTCAGCCCGTTTCTCATCGACTTGCTTAATTTCACTTTCAAGGATTCTGGCGTGTTTCTCTTCTGCAGCAGCTAACTCAGAAAACGGATCAACCACCTCACTTTCCTCATTGAGATCTAATGTTTGCTGGAAAGCTCCAGCCTTGACCTCTGTCACTTCCTGCTCACCTGCACTCTTCTCACTAGCACTGACACAATCATTTGAGCCGCTTTCTTCACTGCCTTCTCTTGACACGTCAGACATGTGACAATCTCGCTGTCCACTGTGCCTTTTCCGCTTTGAAACTCTGTGTTGGCTTTTTTGTTTGTGAACAACCTTTCTTTTCCGTCGTGGCATTTGAAGCCCAAGAGGAAGTTTCCCAGGTGTCTTTTTTGCCCTAGCTCTCCGCTGTGGAAGGATCTCAAATGTCTGAAGAACCCCGTCTGTGACTCCAACAAGCTGCTGCCCATCCTGCCACACGACATGAAACTGGAGGATGTCAAGAGCCAAACTCAATTGACTATAGTCGACATCACCTTGCGCTGCAACACTGTCTGAAAATGCCTTCGCGTAGGAGCAAAACAACTGTCTGGCTGTTGAAAAGGTTGGTGTCCCTGTTCCATCAAGTGGAAAAATTAGCTGTCCCTCATTGTTGATCCTTGCAAACATCAAAGTTTGTGTCTTTGGCCTCTGCAAAGTTACCCCAAGGAAGCATGTTGCTATTTCACTTGTGAATGTCGCACTGAAAGAGAGCAAACTTCCGGTTGTCAGCTTCTTCTCTGTGAGAAGGTCAGAAAAATTCTGGACCAAGGCTGTAACAGTTGTGCTCAACAAGGATGATTGACAAAGCTCTTTGCAACACTGCTCGTCAAGTTGAAGCTCGCTGGTGTCAGTGCATGTTGTAGGTTGGTGAATGCTGTCTTGAAGAAACTTGGAAATTGTCTCGTCTGAAGTTGTGACATCAATTGAAGACTTCTGAAATGCTCCCTCACCTCATCATCTGAACAATTAATAATATATATTATATAACTAACAGGAAAAGAGTCAAATAAGCACAGCAATTGGTTTTGGCTTCAGGCCTCTACAAACCTTGGGTTCATGGTCTTCCAAACATGTTAAACAATTGGTACTAAACATCTGGTCGGGTGGCTGTCACTGAACCGTGTGCTGGAATTCCAGACCTGGCTGTTCTTGCGCATGTCTTCATTCACCGCAAGCCGACGAGATGACAGTTTCTTGCAGGCGTTTCTCCCAACTTCCTGCTCCAGAGCCTTGGTGGCCGTGACCGCATCTGTGGTGCTCTGAGACTCTGTTTTTGTGGTCAACGCTGTTTGAGCTAGCTTGTCCCGAAGAGCCTGTTCATGGGCAGCCATCACATGAAAATCCTCCTTCTCTGTGCTTGGCATAGCTTTCCATCTGGCGCTCAAAGATTTCACTTCTTTCTTGTAGGAGTCAGGATCTACCAATCCCAGCTTTTTGAGCTCCTCTCTCTGAAATATATTCCATCCAGAAAGCGCCCGAATCTTTCTAGTCTGGGAGTGAACAATACGGGCGTCCTTTTCTGATGGGATCTCCTGCCGTGTTCTGGATCTCTGTGGTTCCTGAGGTGGCAAGGCACAAGAGGAGCAACTAGTCAGTGATCAATTTCAGTACGATAGTACTTGTACAGAACAGTAGAATCATGAGTGTCTGGCCTGCTGAGTTACAGTACGAAAAAAAGGTTTGATTGTAACTGTCGTAGTGTGTCTGTAATGCTGTATACTGTATACTTTCAATTATGGTGCAAAGATGTGCAAAGAAACCTTAAGTCTGAGTGCAGGAGAGTGTCCTTACCCAAACTCTTGGTAAACTGATTGCTGCTCTTGGAACCACTCATCTTTTTGATAGATGATGTCGTTTGTTTTGAGGGCAATGTGTCATGTTGGACAGCATGATCAATCCAGTGGTAGGTGTTGATGAGACTTTGGAGAATGCTTTCCTCCACTGATGCTTGCTGGCCTTTGAGTTGTGTCTTCCCACGTCGGGAAACCAGCCACTGAGTGTTGCCGTTTCTGATCTCGCATGAGTCAGAAGTCAATGGACACCACCCTGCGATGTCTAACAGTAAGCGCTCAACTTTCTGCTGAAAACCTTCTTTCTGTGATGGTGAGCCCTGGCAAAGCTCTTTTGGGAATAGGGCCAGCAAAGTTGATGTAAATGTGTCATCAACACATGATGAGCAACTGCTAAATGCATCCCAAAGACGAGACCACTCATCAACAAATGCATCATTGGAAGCCCCAATCAGCTGAAACAGTGAGAACGGCGGTCCTTCAAACTCTGCTACAAAGCGCCTCCATGTATCTGTGCAGCACAAGACAACTAGATTGAACACTTGCTGCAAGTAGGAGTTGTCCACATCACCTTGCAACCCAACCTCAATAGCCAGATGCAGTCGGAACCTCAAATTGTTCATGAATTCCCGAATCAGCTCTCTTCCAAGATCTCCATGAACTGTGCGGAGAAACATTCCTTTGCTTTTTTGCAGTAGCTCATCGTGCTTTGGGTGCTCAGCCCCCAAGGCTGAAAGTTCGTGGAGTATGGTTGTTCTGCTGAAGAAGAAGTTGACACTATGTTCAAAAGGTTGAAGCAATGTGTCCACCAGGAACGTGTTTCTGTGGAAGTTGGGTGAGCTGACATCATCACACACCAACTTCCTCCGGACAGCGTTCTGAGTTGCAAAGTCAACTGAGTTGTCCATCATCTCACTCACCAGGTGCTGAATATCTTCACTGGAAAATGAGTTTGTATCAACCCTCTCATATTTTCTGGATGTGTCAGCCAAGAGGACGTCAAGCATTGATGAAAGCTGATCATCTACTTGGGCGCCGCTTTGCATTTGCAGCAAGGTACGTGGAACAAGGTTATGCAAAGCGCATCCTACTTTCATGTAGGAGCTTGCTGGACCGTAGTGTTTGAACCTGTAGAGCAGTGGAGTTCCGTAACCAGCTGAGAAGAATGGAATACACAGCCTCAATAATTTGGTCACACATTCTGAATTACTCTGACAGCAGCCTGGTAGACACCAGTGACAAACCACATCTTGAGCTGTGTCCCCATTGCAGAACTGTAACAAGGAAGTCAATGCTGCCTTTGACCTCTTGGAACTGCTGCAGTAATCCTTCAGAATCCAATCAGCTCGTGCCTTCCATTTGTCAAAGTCTGGTGGCAAGCTTTGCACCTCTATACCTCCAGGGTGCAGAGAAACAAATTAGCAATGACAAATAACAAAACTGGTAGTTATTCACACAATATAAATGCTTGTATTATAGTATATAGCTGTATGTAACGTATGTGGACAGTGTTTCTGTTTGACAATTGACATATTATAAAGTTATTAGTAAAGTCTCAGTCCCTGTCTTAGTGTTGGTAAGTTGTGAAGGTTTTTCCTTGTCCCTTAACAGGACTATATAACCGGACTAGTTGGACTAGCCACATCAGTCCTTGGACCGCAAACTTACACCGGTGGAGCCTGTATCTATATAATATAATTACTAGAAACCGGTACCTGAGCCTTGCTCAAAAAGAGTTTGACTAATATCAGGCCAAGGCACGCTGAAAAAAACCGTCTTCTTGAAGGACTTGGATCATTGCCCCTCCAAATGATTTTCTGAATGAGGCCTGCTCGAACATGTGCGCTAATCGCACAAGGCAGCTCCAATGGCCTTTGACCGACAGTATACAGGGTTTGCGAATTAGGTTTGTTTGGTGGACCAAGCACTTTACTCGCAAAGCCAATGTATTCAGTGGTGGGGCCCCACAGTCTTGAAGTTCCTTCTTCTTTTTTTTTATTTCATGCCTCTCCACACCCCATGCTGCGTCATTCGCTTTTAAAGCATCTCCAACAAAAATCTGAGTTCTGATTGAACCAGTGGGAATGGCGACTGAATCTGGAACCAACCCTACTTTCTCCAGGATCATGCCAACACCATGTGCGCATTGAACTGCGAAGGCGGTCATTCCACCATGAACATCCCCAGCTTTGGCTCCGCCAAGAACCACCAACGGTGATGGTACAGGAATGGTCTGCCAAAGTGGATCTTGGCAGTGTTGATCAGGGTCAGCTTGCAACTGTCTTACATGAAGAGTTTGCACTGTATTGCAGATGGTGTAAATCTGACTTCGACCACTGGAGGGCTTGAACCTCACTGTAGTATCATCTGCAATGATGCAGTTGATCACATGTTCAGGGTGACCGGGTTGAAACAGGGACTGGATTGTCTTCACCAAAACCTGAAGGCAGCTGTAAACACATCTGGCCCGGTCAAGTTTCCTCTTGGAATAGTCCTGATTGTATGAAGAGCCAGGGTTGAACAGACTCCTGGTGAAGAATGTCTTCTGCAACAACCCCTGACGAGAATCAGTGACCTGCTCCTGAACTTTTGACTCCACCAAGTCTTGCTTCCGCTGCCTACGTGCAGCTAGGGCTGCTGCTCGTGCATTTGCTGTACGGTCTTGTCGTTGCCGCTTCTGACTCTCAGCGTCTGCGTCTGGTTCTGGGTCAATCTCTACACTTCCCCACAGTGCAGACAATGGTGACTCCGGCATTGCATATTCACAGTGTTTTGGTGTTCAGTTGTAGAGTGCTGTATATAGTGTCACAAGCTGATTTATAAAAGAGTGCTGTATATAGAGTGCTGTATAATTATATAAAAGTGTTTTACAATGTTTCTGATTCATATGAATCATATTTTAAAAAAATTGAATTTGAATGTTGTCCTCCAAAAAGCATAAGGGCTCCAGGCTAGTTGGAAGTCACAGGCTTTAGATCCTCACCTATCCTATGTACATAGTAGCTGTTGGTTGTTTGTCAAAACATGCAGTCTGAAGTCTGATTGATTTTTTTGCTGACTGAATCCAACTTATTATGAGCCTGACTCTGCGCTGTGGGGTGGTGACTGAGAGTTCCCTGGTCCAAAGTCTATCAACCTTGGACTTGGACACACTTGCGGTTGTGCCCCAGCTCTGACCCTGAATCCCGCCTTGTATGTGGAAAAGAACTCATCTTGTGGAACGCCATCTTCAGGTTTTGGAAAAGGTGTCATGATGCCCTTCACCTGGACACAAGCTGGGTACACATTGTCATCTGGTAGAATTCGAGAGTAGTGAAACAATTATGACCTCTTCAAATTTCACAACACTATGTAGTCCATGGCACTGTGTGAAGAGCTACTTGCTCACTCAAACTTTCTGTTAATTTGAACCTGCATGCTGTGCTGCACAATCACTACAGCTATCCAAATTGAAAACTAGCCTGGCCTGCTCCAAGATTGAAATTGCTGGTTTGCGCCGGCCTTATTTCGAAAGTCACAAGTGGGATTCTTTGTCTTGAACCCTTGAAAGACTTGACTTCGCTGTGGCTTTGTCAACTGTCTGGAAAATGAGCTGTGGTTATGGGTGTGCAGTGTGCACGTCCAGATACTGATACTGTGGTGTACTCTAGACTCTAGAGTCAGGTTGTGTTTTGTTTGATCTAAGGACCTAAGGATGCTAAGGCTAAGCCTACTTCTCTGCTTCTCTGGGGAGTGTGTTTGGGGAGTGTGTTCAATGTCAAGTTATTGAATCAAAACAGGTCCAGAACTTCAAGGGAAGTTTTGTGTCGTCTAGTCACCTCTATTTGACCTCAGTTTTGGGTTTGTTTTGTAACATGTAACATGTAACATGTACATTTGCCCTGTGCCCTGAGCCTCCAGAACACTTCCAAGGCACGAATGTATCTCAGGCAGTGGAGTAGAGGCTGAGCGTCTACTTCCAAGAACGGGTTGTAGCGCAAAGCACGCTTGCGTGTGTTCAATACCTTGGAACAGCTGACTTTGTATTGTGTCACTTGTTTTGTTGGACCTTCAGTGCGTTATTTCAAGATATACCAGACTCCAGACCGCAAAAAATGTGTCACTGTATTCAGCCTTGCCTTGCCTTTTTCTAGTCCTGATTCATTAGTGCTGAATATGGGTGTTGGTCCAGTCAAGCTGCACAAAATCACTGACGAGTTTCAACTATGCTGAATAGACAGTCAGATAGATAGTCAATCAACTTGCAAATGACAACTAACCAGGACCATAACCAATGACCTATACACAGGTTGTCAAATGCAATGACCCCACTTTCTTTCTTTCAAACATCCAAACACAGGCACGCTGTAGGGTGGGCATGGGGCCCCGAAGAGGAAGATATCCTCAACAGGGTCACTCTTCAACGAGCATTCTTGCCTGTGCTGAAGACAATAGGCGGAGCTGTACGCATTCTCGATGTTGTTGAGAATGTGCTGAACTAAGCTGCAAAAAACAAAGCAGGCAAGTCTTGAGGCCACCTAGACATTCCAAGCCACAACTGAATCAGGAGTCATGGATTTGATATGATCTGATTTGTTACTTGTTTCTTGTTGATTGATTTGTCAACAATGTCAAAGTGTCACCACCCACACTGAATCAACTCCAATCAACACCATAATTTATAACGTATCTTAATAATAATATAGGCAGTATTAAGTATTATATGGCAGTGCGGCAGTATTAAGTAATCATACAATATGATTCGATTCAGTATGATTGATCCTATTTCTGAACCGGACGAACAGGTCAGGTGTAAATGCACAGTTGACAGCACAGTCCAGTCACAGTTCAGTCACAGGCAACCGAGCTTCCCTCATTTCCAAAGTTTCTTTGGATGTACTGTTGCTTAAAGTGGCAGTTCTCCATGACAGCGTCCGTTGTGCTCTGACAGCCCAAAGCACTGGAGATCTCTTTCCTTGTTTCAACACATGTAATTGAACGGACTCGCTGACTCGCCCATTACTATTCCGATATAACATAATTGACTTCCAAGGCAGAAATAGATCAGACTTCATGGAAGCACATGCTGACTTTTTGGTCAAAAATGTGTGGCAAACTGACCCTGGCTGGTCTCTCCGCCAGGCAAAAAACTGACTTTTTGGCAAACCTGTTTTGTTTTTGTTTTTGTGAACTGCTGAACGCACTATGAACTGCCAAGCTTCATGATTAGAGTCCCAGGTGCGCTTCCTGCGCAGCCTTCTGTGATATGGATCCTGACAATGGGGGAATGTGGTGCAACGGTCTTTTCAGGTGCAATGTGCAGCACTCACACGTGTGACATGTGCTGAATACGCACAGTGTTCCATTAACCAATATGACTTGCCATGTTTGTAGCAAAATTGTGACATGTTGTCAACCTGTTTGCTTTTGCCAAGATGCTGGTCTTTGATTTACATTGCCACGCTAGCCACATTGATGGCTTTGCAGTACTTGGCTGCCCAGTCAAGAAATGCAGGTCGCATATGTAGTGTCGTCCTTGGGTGCACAGGAAACAATATGATATGATAAATCATTTAGAGTCAAAATTTCTTACCTGAAACCTGACCTGATCTTTTTTGTTTTGAAATGACTCGGACCTCTTCACTCTCTGAATAACAAAGCTTAGTTCAACTGGTTAGAACAGATCTCATGTGTCAGCTACCTTTGCCTTTGCTAACTAATTTCAACCGTGTGTCTGCCTCTGTTCCTCAAACTCATCTTGGTGAAGATCTGCCATCATCTGCGGAAGTCTTCTAGAGGCCTGGCCTGGCCCTCACAATTTTGTATGGAAGTGCAACATCATGTCATGTCATGCCTCCTCTACTTTACTAAGTCTTTCCTTCCCAATTGAGATGTGACCTTGTGGGATTGGATTGGTTGGAAATCATGCCATGCAGTATGCAGTCTAGCCATGTCTAGCCTGCGCTAAATTCAGTCTGAGGTTCTATGTCTAGGCATGGAAGCTGCCATGAGCCAACATCCTCTGTCCACTGAAGGCCTTTGAGCCCTCTCTGAACAGGCTGGCGGTGTCAATTCTCAATATGGTGGTTGGAAAGTGGCTGCTTTCCATGTACATGGTGGCTGTCTGAAAGCCTGTCCTCTTCGATGGGCTGGTTGGGGTGGCTTTGGTGGTGGCTTCTTTGCTTTGGGTGTTTGCTGGGTGTGTGTCAGTGAATGTGGATGGAATGGAGGTGGTGGAGGTGGTGGGGGAATGGGAGGGGGCACTGGCACTTCAAATTTCCGCGGTGGTGGAGGGGGTGGCGGAAGTGGAGTGGTTTGTGCAAGTGACAGAGTTGGTGTCAGTGTATGTGTTGCTTGGGTTGAGGTGTGGGACAATGACATTTGTGATGCTGCTGCTGCATTTCTTTCTGATCTCCGAATCTTGATTCTTCTTTTCACCTTTACTCTCACTCTTTTGTGTTTCTTTTTGCGCTGCTCAGCTGCCATGGCGTGTTTACACACACACACACACCAGTTCCGCTCTGCAAATCTTGAGCCGGATTTCCTCCAGCAGTTGTGTCTTGTTTTAGCCATTAGGTGAGTACAGTACAGTCTACAGTACAATAGTAGTGCTGGTGCTGTATTAGTAGTAGAGTAAGTACTAGAAGTAGTAGTAGCAGCAGCAGCAGGAGTAGTAGTAGTAGTAGTAGTAGTAGTAGAAAGTAGTATATTATAAGTACAGTAGCAGTAGCAGTAGTAATGAGTCATGGTTTATAAATAGTCCTGGATAGCCACATATGCTTTACAGAAGGCCCTAAACAAAGAGGCCCACGCAGGACCCAAGGTATACTGTGAGTAGACCATGGCTGGCAGCCCTTAAGGCCAGCGCGTCCCATGCGCTTCTGTCACCGCTTTCCTGGTGTCAGGGTGCATGCGGGGTAGGCACAATAGAACCCACATTCACGGGGTATCAGCCCGCATACTCGCAACTGAGTAGGGTGAGACCACATGGCCCTAAAGAAGGCCAAACCAAAAGGATCAAAGCTGGGGGGTGGCAACCTTTTCCAAGCAGATCCAGCTAGGACCGAGTCCCTACTTTTGGGACCCTTCCGAGTTCAAACCATCGGCCCAAAGAAGAAACCACTGTGTGTGGGCTTCCGTGTCCCGGTCCATCTGCTTGGGTGACCAGAGAGTTCGAACGGCGCATGTCAACTCCAACCCAAAAGCTTTCGATGACTTAGTCATTGATTTGACCACCACCTGGAAGGTCAATCCATCCACCACTACCCGTTTAAGGGCACTTTGGCATCAAGCTTGGGGCTCTAAGATTAAAGAAAACAGAAACCAGGCTGGTTGAACAGGGGAAAAAAACAACATGGGTTCTTAGGGGCCTGATTTTCGTTCGGCGCGAGGGGCTCCGTTCACGAATCGAGATCCGGAGCCAAGCCCCAGAGTCAAATCGAATCGCGTGCATTTCCTGGTGTTCACTAATAAGGTTGAATCCCCTATTCTGCCCTAGGGATCCAAGTACGACCCTCCAAAGCTACATAACAGTGTCTCCAATCACCTTCTGAGAAGGTACGACTGGATCCCTATAGGGCTGGAGAATATGTTTAGTTTTTGTCCAGGTGCCGAAAAAGCACATCCAAGGTGGGTTTTGAGTCCGGAAGTGAGTGGATGAAGCACCCGACATGGAACTGCTGGTTCATCGTGTTTTTTTGTGAACCCACGCCAGTTTGTAGATGGCTAAGCGCCTTGGGTCAGGGCTTTTTGTAGATGGCTAAGCACCCTGGTGCCCTTCCAAAATGTCGGCCCCAACCTCTCCCCCTGAAAAATTCAACGGGGATGTGCATCGTTTCTATTTTTGTGCGCACCACCTGGAGCTCACCCCATTGAGGTGGCGAATTGGTTGGACACGATCCTGGTGGTCGGTGGACTGGTCGACATCTTCGTGTCCATGACGCTCGGTAGGAGTACGTCCAGTGTGCAGATACGCAGGCAGAACCTAAATGCGAGAACTCCATCATACACCTTCCAAGCAGTCTCCAATAGTCTACTACTGCTGCTGCTGCTGCTGCTGCTACTACTACTACTACTACTACTACTACTACTACTACTACTACTACTACTACTACTACTACTACTACTACTATACTACTACTATCACCACCCCATTGAGCACCCAAACATGAAGGTCCCGCATAAACCTTCTCCAGTCCGTAACTGGTGGTCGCATGAGGAGAACCCCGGTCTATGAGCCGATCCCTCCAAGTCTTTGCATTTGCCCCCCCCCCACCGATCACATGATGTTTGACCGGACTGCAGCAAGATCCTTGATGACGATCATGCTGGTCTTCTTGAAGGAAACGATTCTTCATATGTTCCCGCTGGGGAACTCCACCGTCCACTTGCGTCTTCGAGATCAGGAGAGCCCAGGCAGAGGACATGACCACCTTACGCTCCTGGGCGACCGACCCCCGTAGGAAACCGAGCGGTGCCGGTGGTGTAGTCCCTGACCGACACGGTTTTCTGCGAGTCGGTTTTGTTTCCGACACGTGTTTTTGGGCACCGAAGGCTCATGTGATGAAATGCTCTTTTGTGGTCGGAACCTGGCTGGACATGATGGAGCCATCAAAAAGGAGTTATAAGCAAGCAAGACTCTAAAATGATTTGCTTCATGAAGAACTGTTTGTGAGTGGATCGACTTGGGCCATCAAATCCGAAAAAAGACCAGATATTGTTGCACCATGTTTCGGCATGGGTGTGTCAAGAGTGATTCAAGTCAAACATTTTTTGGTGGAATTCCTCCGCATGCAACGGGTGTGATTGTCCTCATGTACTGACGACTGTTTTTACAGATTCTTCAGTCAAACTCCGTCAAAGAAGCTGGAGTATTCATTGTGGTAGGTAGGTGCTCCTTTCCGGCGTTCGTCGTCTAGACTGGTCTTCACTTGTGAACGAGCACCTCAACATGTTTCACGTTGGAAGTCGGCTGGTTTTGCACAATCGATGCTGCCAAAGAAGCAGGAATTATCATGCAATCATTATTTTTGGAAGCTCCCCCCTAGAAGTCGAACCCACCCTTTTTCACCCCCCCCCTTTGTCCGTTTTTCCGGCTTCCCCGGTTTGAGACCGAGACCTTGCTCTTCGTTCGCTCGGTTCCCGAGGCTTCGTGACGGCCTTGAAGGCCTTCCGTGCCATCCGCATGGTGCGCAGCTTCCGCTTCTTCCGCGGCCTGCGTCACGTGGCATTCGGTGCCGGACCGGAGATGTGGCGGACGGTGGTAAAACGCCCCTGACGTTGGCCCACACCGGTGTGGTGACGTTGGGGAAGCCTTGTATATAGGAGGGAGAGGGGGTCTGTTTTCGGCGGAACGAAGGTAATCAGTATAACCAGGTTTCAGGGTCTGACGTTCGAAGTTCTGGCGTTCTGCGAGGCTTTTTGGGAACACGTCGGGGGGCAGCTTGCCATGGGTTTGCTTCCCTTTGTTGCCCTATCAGACAGAATCCGATGTCCAGGCCCCCTTTGCCGACGACAGGAGAGTCGGACCCCGAAGCGCCCAAGAAACCGCCCAGGTGGCCTCGTGAAGGCGTGTCAATGCTGCTTACCATCGCTTTGTTGGTCGATGGCCTCTTGGTGAAGCGGTCGATGTTTTGTTCGCGTCAAAGGTGGCCCGTGGTAATCCCCTTTGGCAGCCAAGGAGTGGTAGGGTTGTCCATTGGTAACCCCCTTGGAAGCAGCGCATGGAAGTGTGGCCACCCGAGTTCGCTTGGGCCTCGCATGCTTTAGGCTTTAGGTGTATTGGTAGGGCCTAATTATAGACAGTCCGGGTCTCCGTTTTTCGGCTTTTCTCCTGAAACCGAGACCGGGCGTATACCAACTGATCCACGATTTCCGCCAGGTCATGTTCTCAAGTGTTTCCTACCAGGTCCTACCAGCACCCTCCAACAGGTGCTTCCTGGTGACAACAGGTGCAGGGTCTCCAAACAGCCTGGCCCTCCTGGGTTCCCTAAGCCATGACCCATGGGACTGCCATGGGACTGCCATGGGACTGCCGATCAATTGAGCCCCCTTTCCAACCACTCCTGGCCTGATCGGCAGTCCTATGCCAGTCCCATGGAGTGTCTGGGTAAGGTAGTTGAAGCATCACTGAGTGGCTTGGGCGACCCGTGGGTTGCCACACTCACCGAAGCCGCTACCAGAGGAGCCTATATAGGGCTCCTCTCCCACATCAATAATTATGTTTTTCCCGCCATCCGGCCAACGACCTTCACCTTTAATGGAGCATCCACAACTTGCTTCGCTTCGCCTGGGGCTCTAGGAAGGTGTCGATGGTGTTTTCGTTGTGTGGCCTCGTCTTTCCAAAGATTCCAAAGCGCAGCCAGGGGCTGGTTGCTCGGTGCAGCGAGTCCTAAGACCCCCAAATAGATCGAAGTTCGTTTATCCCGGCTCAACATGTATTGGACACCATCATTTCGACCTATTTGGGGAATCAGAGTTTCTTGGCCGACGTGGAGCTGCCTCGTTGGATCGCTCTGGTGCCTGGCTTGCCCTGGTGGTGCCGGTCGTGCCGGTCCGCGGCCGCGCGGCGCCACGGGAGGCTGAGCTATATCCCTGCTCTGGTGTATTCTTCTCTTGTGGAGAAACATGACGTGCGAGGACGCTAGAGCGCTGATGTTGGGCGAAGCTTTGGGATGACTTCCCTACGCAGATGCAGCGTTTGGAGTGCAAAATGGAAAGGACTATTTATTTGGGGGAGCACCCCCACTACCACGGTGAAAACTGTGTGTTCGAAGAGGACAAGGTGACGGATTGGACAAGGCTGCGGCAGCCAAGCATCTGCTGTGTGGGACCGCGACCAAGTGCAGAGGAGTTATTTCCGACCTGTCTAAGAGCATCTCTCAGCTCAGCTGCAGAGCAAAGGAGACAGCCCGGCAAAACTTCGATTTGGTCAAGTGTGAGGGCAAAACCAAACTTATTCATATGCTGGAACAAGGATGGGCTTCCCTATTTTGAGTGGAGGCAGTTCTTGACTGTTGAGCTGCCAGATGGTGCAATCGAGATGGTTCACTGCCATCGGACACATTGTTGCAGCCAAGCATGCTTTTCATTTGCCCATTCTTCCTCTCCGGAGGGTCAGTTGGAGGGTTTGATGCATGCCGTGGCGCAGGGGATCTACGACTTCTGTCGTGCACTCGGCGCCCTCGCCTCGCTGTCTCCGTGTGCTCGTTGGTCTTTGGAGTTGTCATCCGAGTCGAAGTCGGGGCCCATCCACTCCCAGGGAGTGTAATGTAGACTCGTGATTTATAAAGCCTGCAGAACCGGGTTTGGCTGATCAGGTTGATTCTTTTGTTTTCCCGAACTGGTCAAATCCCCTAACCTGGGGAATATGTTTTGACAGCCGGGCACTGGCCGGTATGAGGGGAAGAGTTGGGGCCCAGTTCAGCCAGATTAGTTTTAGACCTTACTGCTGCTTCTCTTTCTCGTTGCCTTTCTCTTCCTCTTTCCCCTCTATCTCATCCTCTTCTTCTCTTCCTATTCCCTTTATTCTTTCTCTTTCTCGTCCTTTACCTCTTCCTATTGCTTTTTCTCTGTCTCTTCATGTTCTTCTCTTCCTATTATCTTTATTTGCTGTACTGTTCTTTGTTTATTCCTTTTCCTCTTCCTTTTGCTCTTGGTTTTTCTCTTCCTTTTGCTTTTGCCGTTTCTCTGTCTCTTCCTTGTTCTTTTCTTTTTCCCTTCCTCTTGCTCAACTTGTTATCTTTGTCTTCCTTTTCCTCTTCCTCTTGTTTTTTCTCTTTCTGTGGCTCCTTTCTAAAGGCAAGAGCAAGAGAAAGAGGAAGGAAACAGGAAGAAAACAGAGGCAGAGAAAGATAATACGCAAGCGAAAGAAAGAGCAAAAGAGAGAGGAAGCAAGAGAAAGAGTAGAAAAGAGGAAGCGGAAGAGAAAGAGCAAGAGCAAGAAGACTAAGCAGCAGAAAGAAGAAGGGAAAAGCAAGAGGGATGACTCTGGCACTCGCAAGATATCCACCAGATGTGATGTATGCAGACGGTGCTGCAAGCATCGGAGTACAGTGCCTTTGGATGAAAAGAAGAGTTTGACCAGATGACCTCACTGCGTTTCATGCCTTTGAAGGCACCCTCAGGCAGCATTCTGGTTGTTGAACCCCAAACAGGTTCCACATCTTGAAATTAGCCCACTCTTGCTTGGACCCCCCCTGCTTAGACCCCCTCAAGGTCTGAATAACAATCCCCCCAAGGTCTGAATAACAATCCCTTATTCAAAAAAGAATGGAAAACCAGAGCCGGTCCTTGAAGCCAATCGACTTGATCTGAGTTTCTGGTGTTTGCCAAGGTGTTGCTGGCGGCGTTCATGTGTATGGGTGGCTTGATCATGGGCAACTTATTGCAGGCGCGTCGGTCGCGTCGTTCTTCGCCGACCAGGCGGGCGACGAAAAACCAGACCAGTTCCTTCACTCCTCAGAAGGTTCGACTGGACCCTCCAAACCGGCTTAATTGACAGTGTCTCCCACCACCTTTTCGGAGGGTATGTGGATCCCTAGACATGAGGAAACGACTGACCTTCAAGCTGGCCAGTTCCTTCCTCTTGTCGTTGAAGTCTGCGCTCCGCCGGATGGAGCCTCCGAATTGCAACGATCCCAACCCCGAAAGACCAGGCCCCTTTGCGACAGTTGTCAGTAAGCACTCATTCATTCACTGAAAGAAACAACTTGAACAATCCAGCCCCAAGCAAAACAAGCAAGTTCACTGGAGCCATGTGGAGCATTATGGAGCCGCATGGAGCCACAGCACGGGGAGGATCCTCCCAGTCCAGGTTCGCACTGGATAAAGAGGAGAAGAGACTCTCCTCCTCTCCTGGTTTTCACTGATTGGCCCTCCGTTTGGTCACTGAAGATGCTTTAAAGGGCCAATGTACATAGGCCAATATTCGTCATGGTTAGGGTTAATTTGTTACGCCGGTTTTAGACAATTAGGGCGCCTGCACCATGAAGCTACACAGCCCAACCCAACCACTTCCGGCGTGAGGACTACATCAAAGATGAGTCCCATAGCTTCGAGGATCGTCAATGGGTTTGGCAACGCTATGGCACCTGCCGCTCGAACGCATTCCGGACCCCGGGACCTTCCGACTTCGGGGTCCGGCTCCGCGGACGAACCGCACCTGGAGCTGCACCCGGACGGGGCGCCGAAGGCCGTCCGAGAGACCCGAAGCTGGCTTCAGCGTAGGGAGCGGACCCGCTCGGACGCCCCCTTTCAAAGCAGCGGGGTCTCGTTTTGAGTCGGTGTGTTTAGAGGCAAACTGGAGTTGAGCCGGTGCAGTGGGAGGTGTGTCATGGGTGCCTGGGAAAAAAACGAACATGGTGGCTTTGCATCGGACACGAGAAGAGAACTCCGTGGAATGTCCAAACCATGCCGGCTTTGCGGTAGGCCGGGAATGGTTTTGACATCTCTGGGCCTGGGGATCCTGAATTCATCAACTGTCCACATGCTATATGCCCCAAAAAGGTTTGGGTCTGTAAGAACTTACCTGTAACAGTCAGTAAACCAGAACATCGCTATGTTTGAACACGGGCTTTTACTAACCATCAACACCCACTGTCGCTGGTAATAGGAATTCACTGCCACCCTCTGAGGTCAAGACCGCCTACATCCGCCTACATTTTTCAGTGTCTCCCTGCTCCATCTTCGATAGGAGGGCACCATGTTTTACAATTTCCCAGGAAAAGAGGGATAACCTCTAAACCATCTCTAACCTATATGGATCTTGTGAATGCTTTCCCCCCCACAACTCCAGCTTCGCTTGAGACCGCAAACACACCGGAAGCTCGCTCGGACCTCCGATCTCGGGCCCCGTCGACTGCGAGAGAGAACGGCATGCTCGGCGTCACCGTTTTGGGGCGGAACAAGCGCCTTGAAGCCGGACGATGCCCTTCATGCGTTGGTTCGTCGCGAAGTATAGTGGACCTGGGAGTGGATGTTCTGCCTTTCGGGTCACTCGCACCGAAAGGCGTTTTTGCCGAAAGGTTCGTTCGACTTCAACGAAGTCAGAACATTTTTCAGACGTAGGCAGGGGAGATGACTGACCACCAGCTATTGCGAGTTTTGGTCAATAATGGGGAAGACAGATACTTTGGAATTTTGGAGAGACCTGCTGCATCCAAGGCTATAGGGCAACCTATACCTTGTACGAAATGACCTTTGCCGGTGGCTCGGCCCTTGTACGTGTGGCTGCTGGTTGCGCTAGACTTCGTAGCTAGAGGGTGTTTGGCAAAGTTTGGTGACGGGGAGTTTGTTCTAGTACTGAGAATTTCGCCCAATTTCCGTTGGCGGCTCGATTTCGTTCTCGCCCCGTATGACTCGCGATCCACATCGCCACTTAATTGGTCCCTTGCCAGCGACTTTTGCAGAAGCGGGTGCAGGATGTGTAGAAACTATATCGACAAGATAGAGAACCTGAACCCCCAAAGGGGTGTCTATTGATAGTATGATAGCCCCTTTAGAGGTTAAAGGAGTGTCCAATGAACCACCCCTTTCAGTGGTTCGGGAAGATGAAACAAACATGTGAAGGTCCCCTCAGACTCGGCGCTTTAGCAGATGCTAAACTGGATCATCAAAAGAGAACAGGATCATAGTTCCTCACTTATAATTGCCACCCTCCAATGGATGAATGATTTGGGGAAATGGAAATGGAGTCGTCATGAACAAGAAATTGCTGTTGGGGTTCCCAACAGATGGGCAACAGGTCTCCGGCTGGAGAGCAACAAATGCACATCTATAGCCGACTCAGATCGATACCATCGATTTGAGTCGGCGAGTTCCGTTTTGCCTTCCATAGGGACTGGAGTCGTACCGAACCTCAGGTACGGTGATTGGAGACACTCTTATGGAGGTTTGGAGGGCCCAAGTCCCTTCTGAGAAAATACTGGGATCCCTTGCGCTTCTACAGCAGTGCTAAGCCCGTGATGTTCACTGACCCGTTCCCCTCGGCGCTCGACCCGTTGTTTGTTGGAGCCCCAAAGCGAGAGCGATCGGTGCCCAAAGCGACGCAAGATCGGGAAAAACCACACGGCCAAGAACAAGGATGTCTTGCACTAAGGGGTTTAGGGCCTTTTAGGGTGCAAGAGGGTCTGGACGCAACTCCGCATCGGCGGCGAAACGCAGGAAACTGGCCGGTCAATGCGCGGCCTGTGATGGAGAAGGTGTCGCGCCTGAAGGGAGTGAAAGGGGTGAAAGAGATGAGCACCAAGCATGAAGCACATCGAAGGGAGGCTCCAGGTTTTGCATGTCAAATGGAAAGGTTGTTGGACCAGTTTGGTGGTGGCAATGTGGTGTCAAATCCGAGGGAGCAAATGGCTGTGTGGAGTATGTCAGGGTCACAACAGAGACGTGAAAAAAGGACAGCACGGCTCAGCACGGGTGGGCCGTTCACGGGTGTTTCTCCATCAATCATTTTGGGGTTTGACATTGCATGAGTTGGTTAAATCCTCCGGTTGTTTCCACTATTGTGCACTAAGCCCGAGACGATCAAAAACCTGGCTCATCACTAGCGGTTGTGATTTGCTTTAAGCTGCTGCAGGAATACCTTAGATGAACATAGTTCCGCTGTCTACGCAGTAGGTGGACCGGGAGCACTCATAGATCAACAGCAAAGGCCTCTTCCCAGCGCCGGTGAAGCCATGCGTTTCAACGCTTGGCATTACACACGGGCCGGGCACTGTTGAGACTCCTCGCCTTGTGATACACGGGCCAGGAGTCTCCAGAGTCCTCCAGGAGTCTCCAGAGTCCTCCTGCTAACAACGAGTTGTGAAAAAGAATGGACAAGCCTCAAGCCACCAACTCATTTGAAGATCGTGAGAACCTTCCGAATTTGGCACCAAAAGTGAGAGAGGTCCTGGCTACGTACTCGCAAATTTTTATGGAACCGGGCTGCTGGTCGGGTATGGAAGTGGTGGATGGCATGAACGGACACAAAATCATTTGGGATACCGGAAGTAGAAGTGCGGATCATGAATCAAGTACAGGCTTGAACTTGGAGTTTTCCCCGAAAGACCTGTTGGTAAGAGATCATGACTCAAACCCATCGGTTTAGGGGCTCCCGCTTTCCAATCCACACAGAAGATGAGTTCGGAGTTCTCCATTATAGTTGAGTGTGGTTTTGGAACCACGGATGAACCATAGCTGGGTGACCAGACAGGGCCTCCACTGTGTTGACAACATCCAACTTCTGATTTTGAAGTTGTTCTAATCAGCTGCAGGGTCATTTAGGTGTACTGGTACCTTGGATGTGCTCCATCCTAGATGTGCAAAAGCTCTTGACAGTATATATATATATTATATATTATAGTACTACAATGTATTACTTTGTGAACAATTTTGATGTGTTTCTATGTGTATATGTGTGGTCAAAGTCTTTTCGAAGCTCGTGCTGCTGAGACCGGGTGTCCAGTCTTGTACTTTTGAAGACTGTGCTTCCGAACTTCAGGTGAATCAGGGCTTTGTGATCTTCTACTTGCTCTACATCACCATCATTGCCACTCGTCAGCTGTTCAGCCGCTGTTCTTCGCTCGGGAGGCGCTCGCGTGAATGGAGACGGCGATAAAGAACCTAATCTATACACACCAAGTGGTGTTCCATGGCGTGAAACGAACGAGGCGTTTCGAACGGGCCACGTTTCAAGACCACAAGGGTCACTCTTGGCCCACGAGCACGATCGGTGGTGGCGTGGGGCCCACCCCCTGGTTGTATACAGGAAAGCAGCCCAAGGGGCCATGCCGGGCCATCCAGGCAACGACGCCTTGGAAGAAGGAAAATGGACCACCAGCGGCCAGGGGAGTCTCTCTAAACCTACAAACCCACCTCGACGCTGCTTTCCACTTGAACGCCCAAGCAGCCACGTGGAACCAGGCGAACCAGGTTCGCCCACGACGACATCCGTCCCGAAATTCCGGATGAGCGAGGTCTTCGCTGTGATCCGGGTCATCAGCGCGATTTTTCTGAAGGATTTTCTGCAGTTTCGCGTGGGAACTGGAGACGGATGGAAACGTTTGGAAACATGGCCTGATTGGCTTTGAAGGTCTGAGTCAGTGGAATACCTTCAGCCTCCATTTGAGCGCTCAAAGCGTCATGTCGATGCTCCAGGTGAGAAGTGGATTTTCGCCAGTTCACTCCTGGTCTCGAAGGGGTAGGATCTCTTCAGATGACCCCAGGCCTTATAAAGATCAGGCCGTATTTATGAGGTACCCGAATCCGAGCTCGGGCTGTCAGGGGTCGGACCGAAACTCCGTTTCACGCAGGGGGAAGAGGGGCCAGCCACCTGGTTCAGTTCTCATATGGAACAAGAATCATTTCTCCAAGATCCATGCAATGGATCATCAACGCGTAGCTTTCAGGTTCCCAAACCCTATCAGTTCGGGCCCGGATTCTTAGGGTTTGACCTCTGAGTCACCAGGGCAATCGACCAGGCGCTCGTCCGGAAGTCACACGACCCGAACGAAGGGTCCGTTGGGGTGAAGCTGGGCTGGGAGGAAAAACCACCGCAAAATGTGACTCCTCGTTGTTCCAATGGCGATCAAGGCCCTGAAAACATGGCAAGTGGGGACTGTGGACACATCCATGAATTTCTGGTTGGGGTTCCAGGTGGACTGTCCATCACTCCTTTTTGGAGATGGGAACGGCCGGCAAACCGAACCCATATCAGTAATATACCCAAGGTCTTCCCTATGGCCAGGGATTGGAAACACCATGGCCAACCCCCCTAGAACAAGTTCTTAGGTGGCTTACGGTGTTCGCTTCACCCTTCGAACCTCCAGCTACCATCGGACTTGGAACCTCGGCACCTGGAACCTCCACCGATGTCCTCGCGAGGACACCGCTCGTCCTCGCGTTGTTTCTCGCCAGGACACCCTGGATGAAGCGCATAATGACGCACAGCAGCTGGTCCTGGACCGGCTCAAAAAGAAGGCGACCGGTGGAGCGGACGCACTGAACCGCCCGGAGCGCTCGGCTCGGCGCGCCTGGTGTTCGAAGAGCCCCGGACCGAGGGCGGTGGGTGTTCGAAGCAAGTATAAGGAGCGGATCAACTGTCAGAAAGATTCATGCCTATTGGCCAATCAACAAACCTTAAATATATAGTTATGACTGGTTTATTCATTTATATATTATCATTTTGAGATCTTGCTTGTCTTGGCTTTGGGTTAGCCGATGCAACAAATCGTTGGGCTGCCTTTTGAAGGGCCTGCGAGCTTCCATGCTCGTGGCTTGCAGCTTCGTCAGCAAAGCTGAAGCTGCTCAAGGTTGAAATGCCCAACCCAGTCGATCAGCTTACCTACAACCAGTGGTTCCGAAGACTCAATCTGCTGCTTCCTTATATATGATCAATCTTTTGCAGTAGTACCATGTGGTAACTAAGACCCACTGGGCAACAGTTGAGAATTCTTCGAACAACTCCAATGTTGCACGTGCTCCAGAACCACCTCCCAGTTTTTGGGCATTCCTCGAGGAAAGATATTACATGATGAATATATCATATATCGGTCCATGCCGGTTCAACAAGCAGGATGTCATTGTCAGAAAGCTGAAAATTCAATCAACCAACACTTTCCAGCACATAACCAACCAATGGACTGGCAAATGGTGTTTGCAGCTGTTTTTTTGCAGAAATCAATGTTCTTCTATTGCTGGCAAAGCCCGCTGATAGCGCTGCCAAAGAAGATTCTCTTCCAGGGTCCCCAGTTCGGAGTATCTAATAGGCCCTGAGAGGTTAAGGGGTGTTCATTCAGCACCCCTTCTCGGCCCTGGCATTCTTCCCCGAATGACGCTCGCATCACCGCACATACCTGCGTTGCGCCATGGATGCGATTTGGACGTTGCACGTGCCTTGGACCGAATCAGCTGAAGCAGATATGCATGATGCATGTCTTCTTTGTCGCTCCAGTTCAATCAATGAATATGTCATGGGACAACCCCAGCAATTTCCTGAAAAAGATCCCATGCACCAGGGATGCCTTCCTGTATAGACACACTGCATATTATGGACAAGAGGTGTGCTGTACTTCTGTGAAGACTCCTTTGCCCGACACAGGGCTTTTGGTCTCCTCACAGGGCTTTTGGTGCGGGTGGAGGCAGCGCGGCGGGGCCCCCGTCAGAAGCAACGTAAGAAAAGAGGTCCATGGTCCCTACCAGGCCCTACCAGCAGCAGCAGCAGCATCATCATCATTTAATCATATAATTGTGAAAGATTCCTTGATTCAGGGCTGAAGGATTGATGTGTTCCACCGCGGCCGTTTCCGTTCACTTTCAGGCCTTAGCCATACTTTCGTGCTACGCATAGCTGGCAAAAGGGCGCCCTGTCTCGCTTTGACACTGGTAACCGGAGCTTGCTCGATCCTGGCGCGTTCCGCTTTGCGTGTTGCTACATTGCTATAGCTTGTGCATTGGTGTACATTGAGCATTGTGCATTGCATATCAGAGTTGCCCTTGATCTTTTGCATTGACGGCCTTGTCCTTGGTCGGTCGAGTTGGGTAAATAGCTGCGCTTGAGCCCTGGCGAGACCGTTGGTTGGACAGAATTTGCTTGATTTGAACTTTGTCGTATATTGTTACAGCTAAGCTGGTGTTGACAGAGCTTGAATCGGGGTGTGTCACTTTGTTTCATTTACAGTTGCCACAGTTGTTGCTTGTTGCACGGCCTTTCGAATATCGGAAGGATGGCTGAATCTGTGAAGAGAAAGGCAGCTCTGCCTGGTACAAGGTGCCAGTTTGGGATGGGAATCCCAGTGGCTTCCGCGCCTTCAAGCGGGAGATGGAGTGGTGGATGGCGAGCATGGATGCCTCAAGCTGCACAAAATACAATGTTGCTGCTCGTTGGACTTTACGCCAAACTGGCGTCGTTCGTGCTCGCTGCGAGGAATTCTCCCCTTCCGAGTTGGAAGGCGCTGCCGAGGTCAGAGGGGAAGACCCCACGACAGGAGAAGAGATTGTGTTGGAACCCGCTGATCCATGGAAAGGCATTCGTAAGTTGATGTCAGCCCTTGAGGAGTCCATGGGTCGTACATTGTTGGACAGAAAAGGTGAGTTGAGGAAACAGTTTTACACTGACCTTCGACGCAACCCTGGTGAGCGCATCAGTTCGTTCTGTTCACGGTTCCGCACGCTCTACTCTGAAATGAAGCGTGAAGGAATCACGTTGCCGTCGGATGAACTTGGATGGTTTCTGAGGAATCGAATGGGGTTGGACGCCATCCGGGTTCAGCTTCTCGACACCGCGCTCCGCGGTCGGGAGGCATATGAGGAAGTGGAGGCCGAAGCGCTTCGTTTGTTTCGTGACTTGCATAGCGAGGACCCGTTGCACAAGAAAAGCGTTGTTGACAGGTCACCACTCCTTGGTCGTTTTCTTGGACAGTCGCAGTCAGGAGCCTCCTCATACCGGACCTCATTGCCTTCAAGTGCCAGCTCCTCATTCGGTACCAAGTCATACAAGACTTCCTTTTCAAGTGGTTCACAGAAGAGCTTCAAGCCCATGCCAAAGGTTGCACCTCGTTCAGCGTTGGTTGCAGAAGCTCCTACAGAGGCTGAGCCGGAACTCGAAGAAGAGGAGGAATTGGTTCCTGATGTTGAGGAATCAGGCATGTCGTTGGAGCAAGTTCTACAATGCGAAGCGGAAGTGTTAGCCGCTGAGCTTGAAGAGTTGGAACAAGAAGGTGTTGCTCCAGAGTTCATTGAGGGCCTTGAGACGGGTGTTGAGCAGGCTGCTGAATCCCTCGTTACTATGAGGGAAGCTCGAAGCAAGATAGCAGAACTTCGAAAAGATCGTGGATATGGAAAAGCCGCTGCTGCTGGACAGCCTTCAAGTGCGAAGCCAAAGATGACTGGCAATCAGGTCAACGGCAAGAAGTCGCGCTCGAGTTGCTGGGATTGTGGCCAGACTGGTCACTGGGCTGGTGACCATGGCTGCCCTAGTCCAGGGGCAGGACTTTTCAAGCCAAAAGGCGGCAAGCCTGCGAAGCATGTCAGAGTCACAGAGGCCTTGGCGACAGAGTTCGATACAGAGGCTGAACCGGCTCACGAGGATGCTCATGAGGTGATGACAACAGCTCGGTTGTTTCAGCATTGCACATTGTCAGATGCTCTTGACAAGTCGGTTGAAGTGTTTGCAAGTGAAGTGCATTCGTTGGCGTTGGACAAAAAGTTGATGGGAGCTTTAGACAGCGCTTGCAATCGTACTTGTTGCGGACATGTTTGGCTTGAGCATTATTTACATGCATTGAAAGCCGCGCCCAAGGTCATCCAAGACCTCGTGTCACAGCAGGTGGAACAGGAGACCTTCAAATTTGGCAACGGAGGGACGCAGAAGAGCACAGTTCGCTTCAGATTGCCAATGATGGTTGGGGAAGATTTGATTTTGGACATGGGTGTCGGTCGTACAGGTTGGCAGTTTGGGCCTTTTGTTGGGTCGGGATTGGTTGGATAGCATTGGTTGTGTTTTGAGCTTTGCAAAGAAGATCATGAGAGCTGACCATTTGTCTGGCAACCACATCAAGCTGCACCAGTTGACCGCAGGACACTTTGCCCTCCGCCTCATTCCGAGCTGCTGGCCTACACCAGGTCTGGGTCGTTGGCGTCGGGTTGGACAGGATGGCGTTGTTGCATTGCAAATTTCACATCATGAGTGGTTGAGTCGAAAGTTGCAAGCAGTTCATTCCTTTCCCAAGTTCACATCCACAAAGCACGAGCATTTGTTGTCGGAGCACAGCATGCATGCTGCAGATTTGTCGTTGATTGGTTTACCAGTTGAAAAGGTTGATCCACCGCGTGATCTGGCTCATAGGATGATTGCTGATAAGGCATTCAAGTCGACGACGACATCCCCTACCAGTTCACTCGGTCGAGACCCTTCTCCCGAGATCCATGGAAGCGGCACCAAAGCACGCTTCAACATGGCGGCGCATGCTGTTGCGCCTCGAGGCAAGAGTGCGATGGCACGTGCAAGGCATTGTCTTGTGGCTTTGTCGGCGGCCGTGGCTGCGCTTTGCACCCTTGCCGTACCCGTCCATCACCACCGGACGGCAATGGCTTTTGCAAGGCCAACAGATGGTCGCAAATGGAGCTTTCCCTCAACGCCACCTTCAGAAGGCACAAGATTTGGAGTTGTTCACAGCTGGAAACCTGAAGGAGTGCAGTTGGCTCCGCGATCGTTTGGGTTGGCGGATGGCCTTCATGGAAGACCCAATGCTCCTTGGAATGATGGCCGCAAAGAGCAGCAAAGGAGCGGCATCCCGCATTCGTCAAGAGGCCCTTGCGGAAGCGAAGAAAGAGGCCGACAAGGCCATGAAGGAAGGCAAGCAGCACGAGGCCATTCGAACGCTCATTGGACCTCGAGGAGGTCTGCCAACTCTCAAGGCAGATCTTCTGAAGCTGGCGGCACTTGTGGAGATCACCCCGCCGGAGAAGGCTACAGTCGAAGATTTGAAGAAGCTGGTGAGGCCCATCGTCCAAGACATCGCAAGCAAGACGCCAGCAGTTCGTCCTTCTCCAAGTGGAGCAAGTTCTCACCACGAGCCACCGAAGAGTTTGACAGATCGCCCAAAGCCTTCCGTCGCCCCAAGCACACCGCTGACAGTGGCTCCATCTACGCCGCCGACTCTGGCTTCCACAGTGCCAGGAGTGCAGCTGCAGGACATACACGAGCTCCTGGCCCAGCAGGATCAAAAGTTTCAGACAATGCTGACCCAGGTGATGAGCCACATGATGTTATGCAGGGCATGCAAACAGCGGGACCCATGCAATTCGACCTCTCAGCCATGGACGTTCCCATGGGAAGCAGTTCAGGCAATTCTCAAAGCCTGTTGGGAGCTCATGGATGGAGCACGGAGGAGGCGGAGAGGGCGAAGGAGTTCCACGAGAAGGAGTTCCACGAGATGACCGCGCAAGAGTTGAGCGACTTCAGTCTTCAGGAGAGAACGCGGGTGCAGGAGTCGGAGGCGGAACTGACCGAAGGCCCGTTCTTCTGGAGTCGATGAGCTTCCCAAACAACCCTTGGGCTATTCATCAAGAGCTCAAGAAAGGACAGGCTCAACAGATTAGCCAAGCATGGGAGAAGCACTGTCGTGACCGAGAGGCAGTTTCGAAGTCCAAGAATGAGGTCCTCGAGGCAATGAAGCTTGAATGGGATAGCAAGTTCCAAAGCTGTCTCAGAGAGAACTTCATCATGAAGGTTGAGATTGGCCCTCAAAGGATCAAGAAAGGTCCAGACAAACCAAGCAAGCAACCATTGGTGGGCGAGATCTATACAGCCACCGAACAGGTTGCCAAGCAAGCCAATCTTCGAGGACATCGAGTGCTCCCTTCCATGTCACTCGAGAATGGATGGAACTTCCTGAAGCCCGAAGACCGCAGAGAATGCATCAAGGCAGTGATGGCCAATGACCCTTACTGTTTGGTGTTAGCCTTTCCATGCGGGCCCTGGTCACCGTTGACCAGACTCCAGAAGAGTGAGTCATTGGGAGAAAGGAGAAAGCAGGGTCGCATCTTGCTCGACTTTGCCCTCATTCTTGCCCGTATGCAGCTGAAGCGGAAAGTGCATTTCATCTTGGAGAATCCCAAGCCATCTCTTGCTTGGACACTCCCTGAGCTTGCGCAGTTCATCGAAACAGCTGGAGTGGAATGTGTCGATTTTGACCAATGCGCTTTCGGGCTGAGGAGCAAAGAAGGTTGGTTGCACAAGAAGCCTACACGGGTAGCAACAAGCTCTTCGTGTGTTGCTGATGAGTTGAGGGACATGAAATGTTCCAAGGATCATGACCACCAGCCGGTCTTGGGAGGATCCAGGATCACCTCCAATGCAGGCCACTATCCCATTGCATTGGCCAAAGCCTTCATCAAGGGCTTAGAGCGGCAGTTCCATGCTGATCATGGCCATTGTAGAGAAGTTTTGGCGGTGGATGGAGAGGAGGTGGAACCAGATGATGACACTGGTGAACAGGCTGTGCAGAATCCTTTCGACTCAGAATCGGACATCTCGTCCATGGGAGAAGAGCAGGAGTCTGGCACCAGAATCTCGTCGGCAACGAGGCTTGCTGTGAAGAGGCTTCATGAAAACACAGGACACAGGTCGAACAGACGACTTGCCAGGGCACTTGTCCTTGCCGGTGCCCCAGCCGAAGTGATTGCTGCAGCCAAGCAACTTCGCTGCAGCATTTGTGATGAGAAGAAGAGACCGAAGTCCAAGAGGCCAAGTACATTGCCTTCGCCCAAGGATGTGTCAGACCAAGTGCACATCGACATCTTCGAAAGCAGTGACATCAATGAGCAGAAGTACTATGTCGTACATTGCATTGACTGGACTTCACGATTCCAGATGGGCGAAGTGATGTTGACAAAAGATTCTGAAAGCATCTGCAATTGGTTCAAACAACGCTGGCTACCAATATTTGGACCCCC